AATTCCATTGTTATCTTGAAATATCAGTATCTACACATTCTATTCCACCTGAATCTTTCAGATACGCTCTTTGAGAGTCCCATACCCACTGATACAAACCATTGTTCTACGCAATGTACGCCATATTCAACAAGGAAATAATGGGATTATCGTTTCCTTGGAAAGATGTTTATTTGGATTGTTCCCTGTTCCTCTTGGTGCACAGGTTTGTTTCATACTAATCAAAATAGTTCTGTATGCAATCTTATGTAAATTGTATGCTTCTTTTATCTTAAAGATCACTGGAAGTGTATGCAAATTACTGTATGTTTAATGCAGATTGTACAACTGACAGCATCTGGAAACTTTGAAGAAGCTTTAGTATTATGTAAGATGCTTCCACCAGAAGATTCAAGTCTACGAGCCTCAAAGGAGCAATCAATTCATATCAGGTAATTATAAATTTATAATTAACCTGAATACTTTTGATTATGGATAATGATAATCACCTGTTTTTTTGTCCAATTCTACAGATATGCACACTATCTGTTTGAAAACGATAGCTATGAAGAAGCCATGTATCATTTTGCCGCATCGCAAGTGGAAATAACCTATGTGCTTTCTTTATATCCATCTATTGTTCTTCCCAAACCAGTTGACAAAAGTACTGATGTTAGTGGGGAGTCAACCTTATCAAGAGTCAACTCTGGTACAACTGAATACTATACAGACAGTTCTCCAAGTTCTCAAATCAGTCAAATGGAATCTGATGACATTCCTGCTCTTGAACCCAAGAAAATGAACCACAATACTTTAACAGCTCTCATAAAATATTTGAAAAAAAAGAGGCCCAACATTGTTGGAAAGGCTGCTGCTGAAGGCACTGAGGAAGTTGTTTCAGATGCTGTGGGCCAGACTACACGTTCCAAGAAATCAAACAAGGTAAATCAACTCTAATAACTTAACCTTTTGTCCTTTTCCACATGGGTAAAAAAAATTTGAACTTTTTTTGTAATTTTGATTTCTTTTTGTGTTTTTAGGGACGAGTGAATATTCCTACTGATTCTGGTGCTAGAGAGATAGCAGGAATATGTGACACTGCACTTCTGCAAGCTTTACTTTTGACTGGTCAAATTGTTGCTGTTTTGGAATTACTCAAGGGTTTTAACTACTGTGATATGAAGATATGTGAGGAGCTGTTGCAGAAAGGAAATCATGATGTTTGTTTGTTAGGGCTTTATAAATACAACTCAATGCATCGTGAAGCTCTTAAACTTCTTCATGAATTAGTGGAGGATTCCAAATTAGATCAACCCAAAATCACCACCAAGAATAAGTTCAAACCTGAGATGATAATCGACTATCTCAAAGTAACTTCATACTTCTCTTATTATGTCAAACACAAATCAAGACAAATTTTTTTCTGTATTGATGTTTTTGATGGTTTTCATATGCAGCCTCTATGTGGGATTGATCATATGCTTGTGTTAGAATTCTCAACATTTGTTCTTGAAAGTTGTCCTACAAAAACAATTGAGCTTTTTCTATCAGGAAATATCCCTGCAGATTTGGTTAATTCTTACCTAAAACAACATGCTCCTACCTTACGTGCCACATATTTGGAACAAATGCTTTCAATGAATGAAGATGGAATCTCACCACATCTTCAAAATGAAATGGTAATTCATTTCATTTATTAACACGAAATTTAACTTTTAACTCTTATGTGAATGAAGTTATGATTTTATTTTGTAGGTGCAAATTTATCTTTCAGAAGTGCTTGATTGGCATGCTGACCTCACTGCTCAAAACAAGTGGGATGAAAAACTGTATATTCCACCAAGGAGAAAACTCATAACTGCATTACAGGGTATTTCAGAATATAATCCTGAAGCTTTTTTAAAAAGAATCCCACCAGATGCTTTATATGAAGAAAGGGCAATCTTATTAGGAAAAATGAATCAGCATGAACTCGCATTATCCATATACGTTCATAAGGTATTATTTTGGTTGTTTTTTTTTTCTTTTTTACTTAATGGTTCAAAAGGGTAAAATGGTCATTTACTGGAACTCTGTTATGATTACAGCTTCATGTTCCTGAATCGGCCCTATCGTATTGTGATCGAGTATACGAGTTGGGAGGAGCTCATCAACAATATGGAAAAGCTCAAGGAAACATATACTTAACTTTAATGCAAGTTTACATGAACCCTAGAAAAACAACGAAAAACATCGAAAAAAGAATCACGAATTTGGTGACTTCATCGAGCACTGGTAATTTGAAGAGTGCGTGGTCATCAGTTAGGGGTAAAGGAAAAGGGTTAGGTAAGAAAATTGTAGAGATAGAAAGCGCGGAAGATTCTAGAATCAAAGCAAGTAGTGGTGAATCTGGGAGAAGTGATTATGATACAGATGATGTTATTGAGGAAAGAAGCTCAACAGTTATGCTTGATGAAGTGCTGGATGTATTAAGCCAGAGGTGGGATCGGCTTCATGGAGCGAAAACTGTTAGACTCTTGCCTAAAGAGACTAAGTTACAGGTTAGGTTACACTTATATTACAATTTACACCCCTCCTTTCTCTTCTATTGCCAAAAATGGCTAAAAACTATTTTCAATGGAAATAAAATACCATTTTAAAGTTTTTATAGGGTTTGATATCTGAGAGGTAAGGTACTACATATGAAAGTTGATCCAAATTGGTCACTATGACATGCTAGTTTACAGGTTACTTAAATTTTATTTTTTTATAATTTGGTCAAAGTTTTAATATTTGTTACGAATTTGGTCCTAACTTTTTACAAATGTGTACAAAACTTTTTTACGACTTTGGTTTTACATTTTTTTTACAAATTGGTTTTTTTCTTACAAATTAGTTTCTAAACATTTGTTTTCTAAATTTTTTACGTATTCATTTTTTAAATGGTTTTTATAACTTTTTTTTATAGGAATGTTTTTTTTTACAACTTCGCTTTTGTGAAAATGAATAAGTGTGCTTTTTACAAAATTTTACATGTTTTTTTGCCACAAACTTTCATGTTTTTTTTCACAACCTTTACATGCTTTTAACAAAAAAAAAGTTATATAAACAACTTTGTAAAAGAACGAATTTATAAACGAATATGTAAAGAAGGTGTTTTTACAACCTTTACATGCATAAAAGCAATACAAATTTTTTTTACAAAACAAATTTGCAAAAAAAAAAAAAAATCATGTAAAAACAAAATTAAAACAAAAGAAGCTGGACCAAATTCGTAACAAAAATTAAAACATGGACGAAAATTGTAATAAAGAAAAGTTGGGTAACATGTAAACATGCTATAGGAGGTCACCATGACCAATTTGAAACAATTTTCATAATATTAAAATATTAAAGTTGTGTAAAAAGAATGAAATTTTGGATACATTGAAACCAGTGACCAATTTATTAGGTTTAACCCTTACATGAGAAGCAAATATTTTAATTAAATGAAAGCACGTTGCTATTCCAGAGGTTGTTTCCATCGCTGGGACCACTCATGAAGAAGACGAGTGAATCATGTCGGAATTTTCAAGTGATCAAGAGTTTGAGACAATGTGAGAACCTACAGGTATATTTATATATGTTTAATTAATTAATTACCTTCTCGTGTTACATATAATACCATCCAAATACAAAACAATTTTTACAGGTTAAAGACGATCTGTATAAGCAAAGAAAAGGAGAATTGAAGATCACGAGTGATAGTGTATGTTCCCTTTGCAATAAAAAGATTGGAACGAGTGTTTTTGCGGTGTATCCGAATGGAAACACCATTGTCCACTTTGTTTGTTTTCGTGACTCGCAGAATATGAAAGCCACCAGAAAAGGATCCTTTTTAAGAAAGCGATAAAAACATGTTTTTTTCAACTCCAGATCATTGCCTAATTCAATAAGTTAAACGTCCAACAGGCTAAAGGCATTGTATATATATGGTTAATAATGTTTCTTTCATGTTCTAATCGAGCTTCAGTTTTGTTGGTTTTTTTTGTTTTGTTTTTTTTTTTTTTTTAGACACAATAAGCTTGTGAATTTGTATCTAATTTATGCAATATTCTTTATGCATTTTTTTAATTGTTGCAACAAGATGGTTTATTTTAGGACCAAAATGTGTAATACGTGTAAACTATGTTAATTGGTTGGAACCTGGTGAATTTTTTTTTTCACAAATCGGTTTGACAAGTTTACTATTATTGTATAATTGATAAGAAAAAAAATGGAAACATTACTCGATAGATAAGACTATGGTGGTGCTTATTCATTTGCCCTTTCAATTAGATTTGTAGATGGCAAACATCTTTTTAAGTTCGGCTTTTCATTTCATGTGAATAAAAGCCTATTGGTCGAGTTGTGAAATTCCGCACAAGAGGTCTATGGTTCAAACCATGACAGACCCTAATATTACTAATGTTTCGTGATTGACCTTTCATGTGGATCTGGAGGACGGGAAGGAGGGATACGTTGCTCAGCAGGACGATTTACCATTTTTTAGATATTCACAAGGGGATAATTTAGGCCATTTGTTATTGGATTGTATACATGGATGGGGCATAAATAATATTACAAGCATGCTCGTCGCTAACACAATTTCAAACGATAAGGTAAAAAAATTGTCTAAATATTATGACGGTGGAAACCATTTTCAGATAGGATGCATGACCCATATAGATAGGGTGCATGACCCATATCTTAAACATTATTGCCAAAGATGGGCTAAAAGGAAAAAACTACTATATGGATTATGTCCAAAAAAGTTGTTAGATATATAAGACAATCCATCTACAGAATTACAAAGTTTAAGAAATGTATGAAAGAGTATCAAATAGACTCGAAGAAGTTCTTGTGTAGTGATTATCCTATGAGATGAAACTCCACTTACAAGTTGTTGAAGATAGTCTTGGAGTTAAGAGAGACGTTTGTCGATGTGAAGTTCTAAGGTATTAAATTTTGATTTTTTTTTATTTATAAAAAATTTCAAGTTATTTTTTTTATGATTTTAGAATGTTTTTAATATTTACCAATAACTTTTTTTTTTGTAGTTATTTCATATACAAAGGATTTAAGTAGAGCTTCAGAACATTCAAATTTTGGTGTTGTAAAGGATATAGTGGAGTTTTTTTGAGAAATTCAAGACAAAAATAAAAATTATCAACATCATCAAAACCTTTGGTCCATCTATTCTTCAGAGAAGTTTTAGATATCGACAAACATCTAAGAGACACATCAGCAAAACCGGACTTTTGCCACATGCATGTATCTTGAAATACATTTGAAGTATGACAAGAATTAGGGCACATTTGACATACTAAATGATTAAATGTACTTAACGGTGTTATTGAATCCATAAATGAAATCATCATTTATGGTACATGCCTAGTTAAAATGATTTGGATGGTTGGAATGAAGATGAAGCATTTATTTACAACCTACAAACAAAAGTTTAAATATCATGTATCATATCAAGAAGAAAAACATGAATAAGTAGTGGCTTGTGATGATGATAACTAATGTAACGTCCCAAGAATGTTAAATAAAAATTTACCTTTTTAATAAGATAAAAACCATCCATTTCATTCTTTCACAAAATAACCAAAGTATAAAATTTATTCTCAAAATATTAGAGTAAACATAAAACAGATAGTGCGGAATCTCCGGTGGATGCAATGCAATCACGTCAGATTCTTCTCTTTGCTACTAGAGGTACCTAAAACATTTAAACTTGAAAACGTAAGCACAAAGCTTAGCGAGTTACCCAAAATACCACATACCATTCATATACGACCTATTTCAGCCTACGGGCCCAACCCTAAGGTCTATTTCAACCAACAGTCTATTTCAGTCATGTGAATGTAATGATCCAACCATAGTCTTACAGTCACTTTTGTTGCTACAACCTCCGTAACGACACAAAATTTAAGACCAAAAATTTCTTTTAATAAATCATTACTTAAAGTAAAGTCATCATTCCAAAACATAATATGAGTATAAGTTTTCAAAACACATGTTCATTATTAGAGTAAACATTCCCAGGCTGTCTAATCTATAGTGTGTGCCATGCGATCACCCCGAGCTCTTCCCTCCGCTACCGGAAGTACCTGAAACCAAAACTGAAAACCGTAAGCACGAAGCTTAGTGAGTTCCCCACCCTACCACATAGCATGCATAACCACATACTGCACATACTGGGTCACGCCCCCTATCTTGGGCCTCGCCCCTACCTCGGGCCTCGCCCGCTACAACGACCCCGCCGCTCCAGGCCCCGCCTGGCTTTGAGCCCCGCTCGGATACAGATCTATTTTACTTAGGCCTCGCCTGTCACAGGGCCTCGCCCGTCAACAAATAATAACACATAAACATTTCACAACACATAACTAACACATGCAACTGGTTCTGTCCTAAGGCCTCGCCTATCCTGGGCCTCGCCCATGTCCTGCTACTGATGAGTCATGGAACCCCATCCACGCTACTAATGGTAGTGAGGTACGGGCCTAGCCCACTCTCACTCCTGTTCTAGTTCGGGCCTCGCCCCTTTTCTGCTACTAATGAGATATGGAACCCCATCCACACTCTATTATTGGTGAGATACGGGACCTCGCCCACACTCACCTCCCTACCAGGCACATACATGTATCACACAGACAACAAGTATAACTATCATATAAACAATTCCCTAGGCACCCGCCCGCTATTACTGGACCTCGTCCTGAAAATAATACTAGCATATTGTGCCTAGGGCTAACCCCCGGGTCTTCTACTCATAACTACATGGGCCGACATTGTGGCCTTAAACCCATTCACACAAAGGGAAACTCACCTGCACTGGCTAAACTTGCTGATGATCTCACTAGTTGCTGCCTGAAAACTCACGGAACTCCTGCTCCCCTTGCTCCCCGAACTACCAATATCAATGCAACACTGAGTCTAACTGACCCCGAAAGACAACCAAGTCCACCCTGGTCCAAGGTCAAAGTCCTGGTCAAAGTCAACCTTCTAGGTCAACCCTACTCGCCGAGTCACCCTACTGACTCGCCGAGTTCAAAATGATCAGATTCCTTCCATTCACGACTCGACTCGTCGAGTCAGTCCATGACTCGCCGAGTCTACCAATTTCTGAGTCGAGACCTGTCCAACTCACTGAGTCTCCACCCGACTCACTGATTCGAGTCACAACCCGAAGGGTTTGGGGTTTCGCGACCTGACTCGCCGAGTCTAAGAACAGACTCGCCGAGTACAAGGCAATCTGCATACGACTCGACGAGTTGTTCATCCTACTCGTCGAGTTTCTCCACAACTTCATGCTACTCGTCGAGTCCCTTCAGTTCTCCTTACATGCAGAGGACTTTAGAGTCATGCATGGACTCCAAACTATAGATCTACCCTTCCCAAGCCTATTCCACACCTAAAGTTGAAAACTTTACATGTAGAGAAGGAGATCTAGGCAAAACATGCCAAAAACTAGGGCTTAAGGCCAAGGGGCTTCAAAATCGACTTAATGGTTGATACTTTATGCTTCTCCAGACCATAACACACTTGGATTTGAAGTAGCAACTCCAGATCCAGCTTCTAACCCATAAGGGTGGCTAATCATGGCTTAAAAGCCCCAAAACTCACAACCAAAATTAGATCTAAGGGAAGGAAATGACTTAATACCTTCAATACTTCAGAAAGGTTCCACAAACTCCAGATCTGAAGCAAATCCTTGAAGCTTCACTGATTCCCCTCCTTCTTCTTCCTTCAAATCACTCAAAAATGGCTTGGAAGCTTGAATGCACAACAATGGAGGCTTAGGCTTCATTTTCTGAACAAGGGGGGCTCTAAGGAACCCTAATGGAGAGAATAAGGAGCTTAAATAGTGCCCAAAGTCTCGGATTTAGGGTTTTCCTCGCACAGACCCTACTCGTCGAGTCGCCTTGGCCGACTCGCCGAGTTGGCCATTTACACCTTGACCCGGATCCCGCTCGGACTCGCCGAGTCGACCCTTAAATTAGGGCTTTTCTTTCCTTTCTTGGCCTTTGAAACTTTGGGTGTTACAACCTCACTATGCAGTCTTTTATGCCATAACCCAACCATGGTCTTCCATGCAAGTTACAAAAACATACAACATACAATGACACCTAGTGTCCTACGTCTCTCTATGAAGCATACTACACCACAGCTCGTAGAATCGCAAGGTTGGTGCTACACACCACCTAATAACATAAAAGGGCAAACCATAGTCTACATCTAAACTTACTCATTTAACTAAAAGTTAACGGTCAACAATCAGCCACCACAAAGTGGCCAAATACTGACCACATTGTGGCAGCTACACGACAAAATAATCATGTAAGAAACCTGTCACCACGTCGTGGCGAGCATAATGACGCATCATGGGAACCGGCCAAAATAGCTTAATGGATTAAGTCCTTAATCCGTTAAGCCCAACACTCATACTTTCCACAAAACTTCTTTCCATTAATAAGCTTCATAGAAATCATTGGTTTATGGACATGTATGTCCAATGCATATCATGTACTCAAACAAGATCAATGGTGGTTGTCGAGACCAACAAAATAAATAACCCTAAATCTTTTACACTAAAATAGTGCATAGTGGTAAAGGGGTCGAATCCACAGAGATTGGTTCAATTTGTTACTTAATGAAAATCTCTTTGTAAAAATACTTGTAAAATAACAATAAAATAAAAATGGGGGTTTTGGTATTTTGAAATTACTTGAAATAAAACTAGAATTAAACTAAGAATTTAGTGGACAATTCAACAAAAGTAAGAGTTTGATATAAAATCAATGAGAGAATGATGGTTGACTCAAGGTTTCCTCACTTTGACTTTTTAATGAACATATCATTAGAATCCAGTGGTGCAATACTTATTTTAAATCTGTAATTTGGCTATAGTGATCCAAGAAGCTTGAGATTACCTAGACTTTTCTTAATTGTTAAAATGGTTAGAGAAGCTCATAACAATTTCCTTAGTCAAAGTCA